AGAAAGCAATGGTTCTTATACTGCTGACTCTGCACTCTTGAAATATTTCTGATACAGGATAAAGTTTCTAGAAAATTGGGCAAGTTCTAACAATCCAAGAACACTAGGGAAAAACCATCTTATTGGCACCCTCTAAGTTGTCTTGTATCTGTGTCATCGTGAATTTTTCTGGTACAAATTATGCTTGGATCTGGCCCAGTGATTTCAGAGGCTCTGTACCTCATTGGCTTCCCTGACAGGGTGGTGGTGATTTTTTTTTTCAGACACCTGTCAATTAGGAACTGGCCTAAGTCCACCAAACCATTTGACAGGCTACCAAACAGCCATTTTATGGCTGTGAATTTCTGTTGCTACTGACCCAGTCTGGATTCAACCAGTGACCTACTGATGAAAGGCTTTGTATCCAATTATCCAGTCCTATGAAATCTACAATCCCATTGTTTCTCATCCTACACTTTTTTTCTCCCCACATATTTTCCCTTTTCTCTCCCTTCTGCTCATCAGAGCTTGCATGTCTCTCACTTTTCTCTTTGTCCTTTTCCCCAGGTTTCACAGTGCAGTAGGAGAAAGCAATTAAAATAGAGCAGAATAAAGTGGAAAATTGCAGAGCACAGTAAAAATCGTGGATTCTGATTTTACTGCAAGCATGATTTTCCAGCACCTGATTGTTTTTTAAATAGGTCATACGGCTTAAATATCTATTTAGGCTTTTTATTGTGTCGATTTAATTGTTTCTCATTAAAACTATTTTTGGAGTTCATAGTCTGATCACTCCCATGCAGATTATATCTATAGGCTAAATGTAGCTTTGCAGGTACTATAGTTGTGTACTGAGATTTACTTTTGAGAAATGATCAGTAAAATATAAAAATAAACTTAACTTCAGTGGTTTTTAAATGGCTTATAGAAACAAGCCTAAAAAGCTGATATGTCCTTTACCCTCTGGGCCAAGAGCACTCGTAATTAAGAGTATTTTTATTTAGGTATGTTGTTGATCGCTGTTAGTATCAATTGCTCCCTTGGTAAATAAACTCAGCTTTGTCTTCTCCTTGGGGCAGGGAGATTTCTGTTACATAATTAAAGCAGCCTGTTAGCATGTCCCTAATTTTAATTCATCTGCTCTTGAGATGGCTTCTCTTTGACATGTATGTTTGAGCTGCCAAAATTATTCATGGTTATATAAGCTGTCTCAATCACAAAAATACTTTCAAGGGATGCTAACCTGCTTCTCAGTTCAACAAATAAAGATTATCTTCTTCCATGCAAGGGAAGCCCTTGCTCTGTCCAAGCTATGAGAATTAATTCTGCAAGTGTGGCTAGTCTTTATGGAACAATTTGCAGATGCAAAACTTCAAAATGTGGCTATTTTTTCCATGAAGAGGGTGAGACAGAAATACGTATTTAACAGAAGGAGCCACACAGAGTCTTTGCAATGCTTTTGTCTCTGTGTGACAAAATAGGGGCAAATGAATTTTTGATTTTGGCAGTTGTAATTAAATTGATATCACTTGCTGCTGTGCTCCTTCACTCTCAACTAACATTTTGTCTGGTGTGTTGTTTTGCATTATAGATGCTGCAGTCTTCCTCCAAGGAGAAGTATCCCTTATTTACTTTTGTAAAGGGTCATTCTAGAGACTGTGACTTTGCTTCCAGTCCACTCCATGAAGAAAATGACCTTTTCTTTGAGGATGAAAAGAAAAGATTAAAAAGATTTAGTACAGAGGAGTTTGTCTTGCTTTAAGGACACTTTATACTAGTGTATTGGCAGCTGTCCAGGGGAACACTTGCCCATTTAAAAAAAGAAAAACACCAAACAGAGAGCAGGCAACACTGAAACTGGTCTGTTTCATAGACAATAATGTTTTATATGTTAATGATCTTTAAAATGTCATTTATAAATATGTACCAGCTAATTATTTTTATTCATTGCTATTTGAGTGAATATAAGGTTACTTTATGCTACGGATGACAGCATTGTTTAGAGTTGGGTCCAATGTAATGTGGAGAGGTGATGGACAAAGCTGTGTTGTGTGCTCAGTCCTCACTTGTCACTTCCACCATATATTTATTTAGTCTTAGGTCAATTGTGAAAAGATGCTGCAATTAATGCGGTGGTTTTGTGATGGAGACACATGAAACTACCAGATCACTTTCTCTTTCAAGCAAAATTTTAATCTAGTGCTTTTGAAGTGAGATTAGTGCACTAACCTATTTTATGACCTCTAAGCCCCACTAATGGTTAATAATGTAATCCTGAGAACTCTTTTGCACTACCCTGTTTGAGATGTAACTTTGATATATCAGTAGTAATTGTTATCTGCAATAGTGATGCAATTATATAAGCAGAATTGTGAGTTAAGGTACTACTTAGCAGCCTGATTTTATAATGACTACTCATTAAGCTTGCTGTTGAACCTTAATTCGAGGAGTGAAGAATAAAGTATTAGCTTTCCCTTCAATACTTAAAGGTTATGTTATTAATATTAACTGCAACCAATCAAAGTAGATAAAGACAATTATTAGATGAGAACACATTTGTTTCCTGTCGCGACCAATATCATTTTCAGACCTCCATTCCTACCAGTGCAGCTTCTAAATTAAACCACTAAGCAGTAAATTGGAGTTAGAGGGTAAATATTTTAGGATATGATCTTCCTGGTACTTATTGTTTCCATACATCAGTTATTAGGTGTTCTGAACTTTAAAAAAAGAATCACAAATAAATGTATGTAAATAGTTTCATGCTTAAAACAAATTCAGAGTTTAACATGCACATTAACACTGCCTGGAAAATAGAAGAAAATATTTTAATAAAGGTGTGAGAATACTAAATGTATTTGCTTTTTAATTTTATGGTAAATTCCTCATGTTAGAATGATTTTAATCCTGCATCTAAAACAATATTGTGAGGTGTGAATGCTTTGTTTATTTGTAATAAAGACAAATTTTATTGTTGTGTTGTAAACCAAATGTTAACTTATTCTAAAGTGCCATTCAGACACAGAAGGCACAAATGTTATCTATCCAAATAATAAACTTCCTATGTATTCACTGAAATAATTTTTTGCTCTTCATGAGAGAGTAAATTAGAGTTACTGCTATGCAGGTTTTAGATCTAGAAGATCTGCCAAAGTTGTCATGTATTTTCACATTTGTTCATATCACCTTAAAAATTGGCAATATTTTTCCGTTTCATTTGCGCTTATAAAAAAAAAAAAAAATTACTAGTTGACTCAGTTACAATTGTTGACTATTACAGTTTTAATTGATGTAGTATTACTTTTATTTTTGCATGCGCATAAGGATTATGGATGGTTGTATTTGATATTTTTATTAATAATCCAGAAGAGAGAGTAAACGTTAATGAAATTCAGATGTCAGAATGAGAACAGTTGTGAATGCCAGTTGAGGACTAGAAAATAATAGAAAGATTAAGATGATTCAGGGTAAAAAAAACATAATGGAAGGTAGCTGTAGCAAAAAGAATGAAAAATATTGATATGGTTAGAGAGATGCCAGGACTGCAAAATTATTGAACGGGACTCATCTGATGTCCGCTAACATCCTAAGACATGAGGTTGCATTTTGTACTATTTTACGCCGGGGTAATTTACTGCCATTAAACACACGTTTAGACACTGACTGCAGGCATAAATTACATCCAGTCAGCCTAGCCAGCCAGGGGCCAGACTCCTGCCTGCCACCTACCCACACAGCTCTTCACTTTTCAGCACCCTTATGCTCCAGCCAGCCATATGCTGCCCAGCGCTGCCACCTGGCGCTGGGGCTGAGTGGCCATGGTGTAAACTGCTCTGCCCCAGCTCAAATTGCTGCTGAGAAAAGGGTGAAACTGGGTTGTTGGGGAAACATGACATAAATAATCAGGACAGGGGTAGGCAAGATGCAGCCCACCAGACCATTCTATCTGGCCAGCGGGGCCCCTAAAAAAGCTAGAAAATTATTATTTATGTGCCCCTGGATGCCTGTCGTGCAGCCTTCGATGGCTTGCCAAAACTCAGTAAGTGGCCCTCCACCCAAAATAATTCCCCACCCCTGAATTAGTGTGTACTAGTGAGGAGGAAGAGAATTATTTGATAAAGAAGAACGCCTTATGGTTGAAGTACCCTAACTAACTTTAAGAACAGACCTTTTTTGTCCAGTGTATGTTTATGATGGATTAGATGGCTATCGGTGTTGGGAGAGCAGGTGATAATATTAGCACATGATGGTGTGGGATTTGGCGCCTGCTGCAGGTATTTCTTAAAAACCCATGGCGGTTTTCAGGTATGTTATTTTCCGCACTCCTCCTCCAACCATCACTTTATTGTCCTTTTTTGGTGGCTTCATTAACTGCTTAGAAGTCCAGATAAATGAGCATCAGATAAGGAAAGGACACGCAAGTAATCTGCTTTGTGGAGAGTGTCATTAGCATGCATGATACTCTTTGGAAAAGCAGAGAAATCCTGGCTAGAACCCAATTTGGGATATATAATTTTTTTTGCTATGTTTTAAATTTGTATGTTCAGTGGGGCTAATTTTTGGCCCTGGGTTGCTACTTTTCCCATCCTTTATGTTTAGATCTCTCCCATGTCTCTTGTATGGCCCATTCTCTACATTCAAGACCAGTTTCATGTGTTAGTATGGATTTAACTATAGTTCTGTCATAAATCTTTGACTATTGCAGACATATCATCATTGGTAGTCCTGTAGTCTCTACCTGTAACTCTCAGAATATTCATGGCCTCAGTATTTTAGAAACTCATTAGTTTCATAGGGCACTTCTACATGTGCTGGGGGGGGGCGCTTTAATTAGAGTGGCTTCAAGAGCCACATCTAAAAGCACAGTCACACCTTGTGTTACCAGCGTCTTCATGCTTAAAAATGGTGGCAGGGGCACTTGAAATAAAGCTCATTCAATGAGCTTTAGTTCAAGCATCTCCGCCGCCATTTTTAAGTACAGGGACACTGATACATGAGGCGCAGGAGGCCGCTGGAGCGCAGCAATTGCCATGCTCCAGCAGACTCAGTTGAGTCCAATCCGACACGCTGGGATTCCAGTGTGTTAGAGCAGCCTCTGCATTCATGTATAAGAGCCCTTATTGCCCATAACTCTAGTTCAGGATCTTAATATCCATTGCAAACTTGCTGTTCTTTTTAGATTCAGTGACAACTGGCTAGAAAGAAGGACTTAGACATTTCAACCTTTGGTGTGAAAAGCACGCTAGACTAGTGTTTCCAGATTCTCACATAGGTAAACTTACAAGTTGCCCTCATCCTCCAATAGTGACATAAGTTAAATTACCAAGTTGCTAGGAATTAATGTTTTTCAGTAACTACAGGGGACTTTAATTGGAAGCCATGTTAATCGTATAGCAATTCTCTTTACCTGTTCTGCATTATCTCCTGAAAACTGTGCAATTAATTTGTGTCATCACTGTTGCTGCTACTGCCTTCAAACACAAACCAACTGAGCATTAGTTACTCACATACCCAGCAGTGGTCTATTTTCTTAAAGGATTATACAAACCATTGATTGATTAGTTGCTTGCTTTCCTGATGAAATCAGACTCCACAAAATGGAAAGTGTTTTTTCCCTATCCAATACTTTCTGTTGCTCCTTTCTGCATAGAAAGGAGTATTTTATTTGTTTATGAGCATTATGCTCAGTTTTCCAGTTTTCATGTGGTTTGTTATGGACTCACTATCAGTTCAAACCCTAGTTCTTGATCTTCCAGGACATCTATGGATAAGATGGAGATGTCACCATCTATGACTCACCAAAACTACTGTTCACTTCCTGGGACAATATGTAGGGTGTTTTTGGTCAAAGGGAGTCATTTCTGGAATATACTTTGAGAGGAACTGGGGTCGGTCTAGTTTGATTTCTGTCACAACTCCACTCGTTAACCAACTATTTCCACCAGGACTTCTCTAAAGTCTTTATAACACTAACAAGAATCATTTAGTTAGAAATGCTATCTGGGTTGCAGAAAAGCAGAAAATAGAACATCACCTACATACCTATATACTTTGGTTTAATTTATCTGGGTAACACAGATGATAATGCTAATGGCATCCTGGGATAAAAAGTCCTAGTCCTTTTGACCTGCAGGGTTTGTGTTGAGCTGGGAAATGTTTTTAGATGTCACTGGTCATATCTGATCTTGAGAGGGAGACAGATTTGGTGATTTGTACCACACATTTTTCAAAACCTGGTCAGGAGAAGGAATTTTGAGTGCTAAGTAATTACCACCTTGCGGATAGGAATAGAATCACCTGTTTGCATTTCTTCCCTTCTTTAGGTACTGTTTTGCTTTTGTCTGTTCATTTTCCCCAATGATTCAATGAGATAGAAAATGGATGACCTGATAACTTGTCATTAAATATCCCATAACAATCCTACATTTGTTATCCGTGCTGGGTCTGGTGTCCCAGACAAATTTCAAGCCTGGTGATTTTCTAAATTGCCTACCTAAATTCTTCCTGTGGTTTTGATAAGATTTATTTTATTGCTTATTCTCTCTTGTGTAGTGCAGGCAGGCGAGAATAAGAATTGGGTAAGAGTAGCTGCTGTGCTTCAGTCCCGATGTGGTTGGATTTCACTAGGGAAATGAATTGGGTCAAGTGACCTGCTGCATCCCTTTGCCCATTCTTGATAGATGGATGGGACTAATTGTAGCTGGGATGTGTGTTTAGATGCTCTGGTCCAAACACGTCCTTCCCTGATTGCTACAGAATTAAAGGTGCTGGGACCACTGGATCTATTGGTAGTGAGTTGATTTGCTCCCAAAAGAAGTCCATTTAAAAATCCTATTGTGAAGGGAGTTCTGCTGACGTGGTGGTGGTGCTGGCCATATTGACTAGACTAGTACTCTGTGTGTACATTCCCTGCCATGGAAATGTTAGTTTCCTTTCATTAAAATTGATATAAATATCTATTTTGTTCATGTGAGCATGAAGGGAAGAATGGATGCCCCGATCCTGAGAGCCCTTTATTTGTGAAACAGCCATGTTTGCATGAGGAGTTGCACGTTGTTGTCACTGCATTAAAGTAAGTTGGGCATGGAGGACTAGGCCCTAAACTCTTGGTTTAAGCAAAAGAATCTTTTCAGTCCAAAGAAATTGAGTTTGTAATCCTCAGGAAGAAAAGCTTGGGTACAGAAAATCAGGACACTGTCTTGATTGTTGGGAGAGTGCAGTCATAAGCACACACTAATACTGGGAGGGGTATGTTCCTCATTACATTCATTACAGAAAAAATGGGGCTACCTCTAAAGATCTGGTTTATTTCTGGAAGTTCTTGAAGCCCTCCTAATCACTACCCTGTGTTTGGCTGAGAAAGGACCATAAGCAAGTTATAAATGGTCAGTAACGGCACAAGCAAATCTAAATGACGTGTTCAGAGTCCTCCATCAAATTTGTATGATGGGCCCCTTTCTGGGTTGGGGAGAGGTCTGGCTGCAGTACCTGGAGCCACCACCAAGGACAACCTATGCTTGATTTATTTTTGGGTACTCTCCTCTGCTCCTGTGAAAGGCTATGAATAGGTCCTGAGTTTAATGAATTTGTTCATTCTTTGACAAAGAAGCTTTGATCCAGCACTGAGCAGTGTGGGTGCACGGTCACAGCACAGAGTGTGAAACAACATTTTATCGCATACTTTGCTTGTCAAGTCATGGATGGTCACCATTATACGAAGGTCTCTTTCCCCTTCTTTGGCACTGCATGTTAATTACATGGTTCGACTACTCTGCTTGGAAAGTGTGGGAAGGGAAACCCAGTCCAGAAGAGTCATCGTTTGGCCATATGACCAGTCGCCTTCATTATATTTGGGGTCCTTGCTGGAAAAATGAAGCTACATAAATAGTTGTCCTTTACCTATTTGCAAGCAATCTATGGGCTGGCAGAATTGCTAGAATCTGCTGTATGACTAGAAAAAAAAGTGCTCTGATATTTATTAGGACCAGAATTTACAATGTGTTGATGAATAAATGTGGTCAGAAATGTTATGAAAGCAAATCAGTAGGGTTTGATTTATGCAAGAAGATGCATA